TGTATCAGGTCATCCCATAAGTTCTGTCCGAATTCTAACTTTTTTTTTTAAATGAACGAATTTTAAAGAGTATTTTATAATGTCTAATGGAGCTGAACATTATTTTCATGTTTAGATGCATTTAAACTGATCAAATTTTATTTCAGAGAACAATCAAATTAAATTTTGTTTGATTAAAACCCTGCTAACATGGAAGTACCCAAGAATCATTTGAGGCACATAATGCTTTATGAGTTCAAGAAAGGAAACTCAGCAGCTGAAGCGGCTAGAAACATTCACTCAGTTTATGGAGAGGAATGTGTGAATGAAAGAACTTGCAGAAGATGGTTTGCAAAATTCAGAGGTGGTGATTTCACCCTTGAAGATGAAGATCGAACCGGACATCCAGTTGAGTTTGATGAAAAGCTTCTTGAAGCAGCCCTTGAAGAAAATCCTGCTTTATCAGTTGAGGAATTGGCAGTGGTTCTCAGTTCAACCATACAACTGTTCATCGTCATCTTCAACAACTTGGAAAAGTTCCTAAACTTGAAAAATGTGTGCCTCATGAATTGTCTGAAAACAACCTCAAACCCCGAGTTGACGTCTGCTCTTCTCTCCATTCTCGCCAACTTGTTTCACCTTTTTTGGATAGACTTGTGACTGGCGACGAAAAATGGATCTTTTATCGAAATATTAAGCGTCGTAGACAGTGGCTTGGTAAAGGGGAAGGACCCCAGCCACAGCCGAGAAGGGAACTTCATGGTCAAATGGTTCTTCTTTCAATCTGGTGGGATCGCCAAGGAATAATCCACTTTGAATTCTTACCACCTAATGCAACAATTAATGCTCAAATATACTGTCAGCAATTAGAGCGTTTGAACCAAGCTTTGAGGAAAAAAAGACCTGCTCTAGTGAATCGAAAAGAGGTGATGTTTCATCAGGACAATGCGCGACGCCACACAGCAAGAATCACGTCACAAAAGATCGAAGAACTTGGTTGGGAGAAAATTCCTCATCCACCTTATTCTCCCGATCTTGCTCCTTCAGACTACCATTTGTTTCGTAGCTTACAGAATCATTTGGAAGAAACAGCTTTTGTAACACAGGAAGAGGTTAAAAGTGACATTTGTGAGTTCTTCGATTCAAAGCCAAAAGAATTTTACAGTAATGAAATTAGTAAGCTTGTTAATAGATGAAAGGAAGTCATAGATAATCAGGGAAAATACATTGTTGATTGAATCTGTAATTAAATGTAACATTTGGTCACTTGTTTTCTTTATTCAAAATTCGGACAGAACTTATGGGATGACCTGATATAGGATTAACAGTGCTGTAGTTTTAGTGTGATTTTCAATAAACAATGCAAATTTAAAACGTTTTGTCTTATAATTTGTGCCCAGCTGTACGATGGTGTTATATACACTTTTATCTATTTTTGTTTTCATTAATTATGATCCGACAAAGGATTTAACATATCTTATTCATTGAGTAACCTTTTTTGTAATCATTTACAACGTTTTTACACTGTTTTTACTTATTGAATAGAGTAAAAAAAATTGCATATTTTGCGCGTGGTGATTCAAAACTAAAATTCTGGCTTAAATAATTTTTCCATTTAATGTATCTAATACAAAAGATATTAACTTTATTTGGATTTATTTTTGAAATAGTAAAATTATGAAGTCAGTTTGAAAGCGAAAAACATGCTGAAATTATGTATTTTTGTACATTTTATTTTCAGTCGATTATTAAAACTAAATGCTCAAAAATTGCTGAAGGTTATGAATCTAATGTTTGGTGTCACTACGTAGCAGTTCCGACCCCGACTTGGGAAAGTGAGTGAGATCTGTTTTCTTCCTTTTAAATCTATGACACCGTCTATATTCGGGGATTCCGATGCTGTAGAAGCAATTACCTTATTGCTCGAAAGAGGGAATTGGTGGATACCGAATCCAGGATATCTACCAACCGTCCCACACGGTCAGAGGTGGCACAAGGTTGGATCCTTACCCTTAGGCTGGGCCAAAAATTCCCCGTAGACCCCGTATGAAACAGGGTCGGGTAGATGTTTCCCGGGACGAGACTCTGTCCTTCGACATAACCTCGTCTGGGGATCCTCTCTGTCCGGAGGCAGAGAGTTTGACCAGCACAGCTGGAAACGAATCTCCAACCGCAGGATATCTATCAATCGCCCCAACGCTTTCAGACGTGGCACAAGGTCGAATTTAATATGGGGCATCCGAATCCGTAGATTCATCCAAAATTCCCCGTAGACCCCGTAAAAAACCGGAGTTGTTTCCCCAGACAAGAATGAAAACTAAAGATGAAACATCGGTAAACACCTGTTACGGTTTTTTGGGTATATACCGTATAGAACTAGTGAGCGAGTCAAAATGACTTATTTCCCTTTATAGTCGACCAATAGAAGGTTGACCAAATCAGAAGCCGCCCAACACTGTATCCGTCGTGTATAAAGGCGGCCATCTTTGTTTTTCTTACTGGAATGACCAGAGGCAACTTG